TTAATTGGAAGCTATGGTATGAAGGATCCAATCCCTGTAGCTGGAGACCCGTGTGTAAATCCCCGGGTAGTCTTGTAGAGCGCAGCTCATTCCCACAGACACGATCCCTGTCAGCACTGGCAGTCCTCGAGCATTGCTGCAGATCAGCGGACCACCGGAGTCACCCTGTGTTGGAAAAGACAATTACAGTTAATGTTTTAGATGAGTTAAAAGTTAAAGTTGAGAGAATCGATTTCATTGCACTGATTTTAAACCTATATTGCCCGGTCTCTTTCGACTAAGTCGCCTGTCGACAAAGTGGCACCAAGCACAAACACAATATTTTCAGCATCGATCCCAGGAGAATTCCGCAACTTTGGCACCCGTGAACCGAACCACCAAACCGTAAAACGAACCGGCGACTTTCAGAATGCGAGGCAAACGGCTTGACTATTTTGCCACTGAGACCGCTAAATTAAAAGTTTGTCGCTTAGGCGTTACGAACGCGCTTCGTAATGCCGGGGTGCTGGGTTCGATCCCAGCTGCGTGCTCTGCGCCTTGCGCTGGTTTTGACAGTGGTATCGAGAAGGCAACCGACATAAAGCAATGGCAAACTACTGGACGTAAATTTGCCTAAAACACAGCCAAAAAAAAATATCCTTGGGTTGGTTATGCAACGTCCTGTAAAGGATTTGCAACTAAAAAAAAAAAAGGATAGTAATTAAAAAGTAAAGTGCTTTTTTTTTCTTATTTTGTTTTTTTGCCAGCTGCCGAAGGTCTCGGGTTCAAATCCTCATGGAGATATGATCTTTGTGATCATTTGATCTTTGTTCATAGTGTACTAGGACATGTAATTAGAAGTATTGGCGGTGATGTTGACGGCATTTTCCATTAAGTCCATGATCGGCCACGTGGTGTGATAATTGTCTCTGAACAGAATTCTATATACAAGTGTTTCCCAAACCTTTCTTAGTTTCAATTTGTTTCAATTAAAGTTTTTTCTACGGCGCCCTGGCCTAAGTAAAAGTATGACTATTCGTATGTAGCAGATTTATAAAAAGTAAAACTCGTCTATCTTCGAATATTTTGCGGCGCCCCTGTGAAGAGGTCGCGAGGCGAAGCGAACAGAAGGGCCCGTTGCAAGGAGTAGAGGAAAGAAGAACAAGTGGAGAAGACCTTGGAAAGATAAAATGAGTCAAGAAGGCATGTTTAAATAAACTGACTCATGAAGAGAACTGATTGCCCACATCAGAAGGGAAGAATCTATATTCTTTGGTCATGCAAGGAAAATAATAGTGGTTGGGGCGGGGGGTGGGTGGGGAAGGGGGTTGCTGGAATATATCGCGTGGGGAGGGGTGGAAGTTCGGGGTGGGAGAGGGGGGGGGGGGGCAAAACGAGAGAGATGCTGGACAGTTTGACATCGCGGCATGGAAGATCACCTGTGTCAATTATTTGAAAGTACACGAGACAAACGGTTGCGGATAGACACAACTACCAACACTAGTCGGCATAGACTAAAATAAGAAGGTATGCGTCACTAATGTGAGGCCGATGGCGGGAAAATGTAATGTATTTCTGTAGATAGAAGATACTGCATTTTGGGTTTCTTCTTCAAATTAGGGTCGGCGTCTGTGGCTTAGGCGTTGTGAACGAGCTTTGTAATGCCGGGGTGCGAGGTTCGATCCCAGCTGCGGGCAGTGTTCCTTGTATTGCTTCCGATAGTGGTATCGAGAAGGTGACTGTCTAGTTGAAAATAATCCATTTTTTAAATTCAATGTTTGTTAAAAAATACCGACAAGCATTTATAGAAAAACACCGCAAGTCTCCAGGACAAATGGCACGTTAACAACACCAAATATTTCTCACCAATGGTGGACTGGAAATTATGCCTTCTTTAAAAAAAAAAAACATTCAGTATAGTTGTCTTACCTTACAGGTGTCCTGTTTGAAGTTGGAACTAAAGCACAACACCCTGTGGTCAACCAGGGGCCACATGTCTCTGTAGATCGCCTTGCACTTTTCTTGAGAAACTCTCCTGACTACAGCCACACGCGGTGTCAATGTGCCGTTACCATACTGTGGTTCTCCCTCGTCATCTGTAGAGTGTAGGCAAGGCTCATAAAGTCAAGTAACCAATCTTTCTCACTCCCTTCTAGTGTACTGGAGAGATGTGGTCAGCATTATTCCATCCCCCTTCATTTCCAAGGATTTTACCTTGTACCCAATTGAGGCTGGGTCGACTTGGGAGAGAAAAAGAGTTTTTCGAGAAAAAATACTGACTCAATGCAGATTTGAACTCACGACCTTTGGATCGGCAAGCGAGCATCTAGACGCTGCATCACAGTGGCTGCATTAGTCAGGATAAATGGTTCCTGAATGCAGAGTAGTTGAACAACAGTGGTTTCTCAAACGTAATGCTCTGCGATTCTAGAGGAGTAATTGGCTCAAAGAATGAGAACGACGTGTTCTACTTCTTCAGACCCAGTTACAATCTTCAGAAGCAAAAAGAAAACCCTAACCTGACACTACGTGGCGACCCCTGTAGTTCCCCCGGCCCCAAATCTTTGGGCCCAAAAGCCCATTTCTTACATTGCTAAAAAAGTGGTCAATACCAACCATGGATAAGTCAAAAAGAGAAGCAAGTAAAACCCAGAAAACCAAGATGAGGGGAGGCTCTTCAAGTAGAAAAAGTATGACACGGTGTGGAGAAAGCTTAAAGGAGTCAGGATCGTCGACATACCTCCTCTCAGCTAAGAAAACACCGTGGAGATGAGAGCTGGAGAATGAAGTTAGAAAGATGGGGAGGTCATGGGGAGAGCTACATGTAATAGCAAAGGATGGAGCGACTTGGCGTGAGTTGATTGAGGGCCTATACTCCATTGGGGGTAGAAAGGCAGAAGAAGAATACAGACAGTGAGGTCAATGCTCAGCTTACATAATTTTTTAAAGAAATATAAAAAATATCACCTTGCTCTAATTTTTAGCCTGCGTTACGAATTTATCATTATAAGTTTTTGAGAATCTTATCTCAAGTTATGAATTGCACTCATCAGAACATGTTTTTTCAAAATAACAAAAAAGAAAGTGGCTCTGAAAAGATCAATAGACTTTGGCACTTTTAGAATGAGGTACAGAGAAAAAAGGTCCCACCTATTTATTTATCTGAACAGATATGGAAACAAATGAAAAGTAGAAACAATTAGCTTTACATTATCACAAACACAAACGACAAGAGGACGCTGCGGCTAGAAAGCCTTCATCAGCACATTACATTACTTTTCAATACCACAAATACGAACAAAAATATATAAAATCACTTCACTGTAGAATATCCAAGAGAAATCACTTAACTGAAAAATCTCCAAGAGAAATCACTTGTGGTTCTCGATTGGTGAATCTGACACGTGTGTGACTTTACTTCTCAAGGGCGGTAGGATATGCTATTATTCCCTTGCGAGTTAACAAATCGTGTATTTTCAACGACTATCCGACATGTTGTGTCTACTTTCATGCTCATCGACCTCTGGCAACCCCTCTAGGAAGTGTACTTTCCAGGACGGTTCTTTCCAGACTCCAGAAGCGTCATGTAGTTGAGTTGCGTTGAGTTTAAACCGATAAACCAGTACTCATAGAGAGTTGCCGTGGCAGAGCGGGTAGACGCTCGCCGTGGATCGGAAGGTCGTGGATTCGCTCCTTCGCGGAGCCGACCTTTGTTCAAAAAACGACCTTAGCTCCCAGGTCGACCCAGCCTTGAGTGAGTACCGGGTAGAGTCCCGGGGAGTAAGGACGGCCGGCGTGATGCAGACCACATCACCCACCTTGTGCCCATTTGTCTATAAAATATAGTTCTAGCCCTATATGCCCCATACGCTTAAATGCGTAGAAAAGGTTCCTTTACTATTTTTTTCCAGCACTCATATTAACGTGACGCTATCTTAAACAGAGAGCGCAGCCATTCCCAGTCACTCCTCGCTGTACCATTCCCTTCCGGCCGCGATGTTCCGGCTCTGTTTACTCGCAATGGGCCTTGATAACATTTTGTTTCTCTTGCATCAATATACCATCTAGTGGTGCAGAACCAGCCTGTCTGTCTGTCTTTCTTGTTTCACAACACACCCGCATCATCATTATCATCATCTATCAGCAAGCCCTTTGCAGAACGTCGCTCTTTTCACAGTACCCCTAAAAGTATCCCTTTCCATAGCCAGCTCTTCGGCCCCACGAGCTTTCAATGCCAATGCATCTTCAGTATTCTGTATCCACATTCGCAGAGGTCAACCCCTGCCTCGCTTTCAACAAACTGTACCCTCTATCATCGTCTTTTCCAAGTCACGTTTGATGTGGCCAAAATACTTCAAGTTTCGGGACAGGACTCTGTTCAGTTGTACGGAGATTCCTGGGGATCATCGCCGAAGCTACGGACGTTGTGTTCTGTGTGACGCTCTCGGCAGGCAGCTAGCTGTTCTGCGGAGAGAGAATGAGCCATATAGGATAAAACCCAGTCCAATGAAGTCGATTCTCTCACCTTCACCTTTACCTTTATCTTTACCTTGTGCTAACTATTACGCTGCATATACCCGTTTAACATAACATTTGTATTGTACTATGCCTAGGTCACTAATGACATGGTGTGTGATATAATCTGAGGATGATATTACATATACGATAGGATGATGGTTCTAAGCTAGATAAGACCTGTGGACACTTCTTAGTTTTGAAGCACTGCTACGTACCCCAAAGCTTCCAAATAGACTGGCACATTTTTTTTTACTGTCAAGGGCAGAATAAATCTCTTACCTGCAAGGTCGTGGCGACAGCACAAGCCATGCCTCCGTAAATCCTCAGGCAAAGACACAAACGTGGTATAACAAGGCAGTATTTGGCAGTTTTGGCAGTTTTTTTTTTTTTTTTTGGGGTGTGGGGGGGGGGGGTGGGTGGGGGGGGGGGGGTGGGGGGGGGGGGGGGGGGGGTGGGCACTGAATTTGCTTTACGGGTATGTAAATAATATCATAGATTCCTTGTGTGGGTTTGCTGGGCCCCAATGTGTGTATGTAGGGGGTGAGGGGTGGGCTGGGGAAGAACAGACCTACTGCCTCCTAACAAGCATGCCGTAAAAGTCTACCAATTAGGAATTTGTCTATCAAAATCAGAGTGCAATTGCCTGAGAGTTAATGAACCAAAAGTCTGCATACAAATAACCAATATCTTTAAAACGTATGTGCACGCGAAACTCAAGTTCTGAAACAAGACTAAAGTCCACAAGTGGATAAACAACCACAACTTTCCTTAATACTTTGTAGCTGGTGAGCGCGAAAAAGGCGAAAAATGAAAAAGAAACATTGAAACTTTGCTTCGCTTGCTAGCTACCAAATGGGAAAGACTGCTATAGGAGGTAGGAGATAAGTTAAGAGTTCAATAGGAAGATGTACTGATGTCATTAAATGCCTTGTTCAGTTACGTGTAACAACAACAATCAGTCGAGCGATGGAGAACCAATACCTACCCACGACGGTAAATGATGAAGATAATGATGATGATGATGATAATGGTGACGATGACAATGATTATGATAATAAATATGATAATAGTGACATTGATGAATATGGCGAGGATGATGATAAAGACGCCGATGATGATGATGATGATGATCTTTTTCTTCTTCTGCCTTTCTATCCCCCAATGGAGCATAGGCCCTCAACCAACTCACGCCAAGTTATTCTATCCTTCACCATTGCATGGAGCTCTCCCCATGTCCTCCCAATCTTTCTAACCTCATTCTCCAGCTCTCTTCTCCATGTGTTTTTTGGCCTTCCTTTATTCCTATGCCCCTGTGGGTTCCTATGCAAAGACATTCTAGTTATGCTGTTCTCCTGTTTTCTCAGTGTGTGCCCTATCCAACGCCAGCGTCTTTTCCTCACCTCCTGATCCACTGGAGCCTGTTTAGTTCTCTAGCAAAGTTCTACATTAGTTATTCTATCATACCATTTTATTCCCTCTATTCTGCGCAGGCACCAGTTAATTAATGTCTGTAATTTATTAGTAATTGCCTTGGTTGTTCTCCATGTTTCCGCCCCATACAATAGTACTGATTTGACATTAGAATAAAAAATTTTTAGTTTAGTATTTCTTTTAATTTCTTTTGACCTCCACATATTCCCTAGTGCTATGAAAGCCCCTCTTGCCTTTTGTATTCTTATTTTAATATCTCTGTCAGTTCCTCCATCTTTATCTACATTACTGCCTAAATAGGTGTACGACTTCACGTCTTGGAGTGGGGTGCCATTAAGAGAAACCACATTACTATTTGCCTGATTTATTCTCATTATCTTTGTCTTTCCTTTATGGATTTTGAGACCAAGCTGGTGTGATCTCGCATTAAGTATATTTAATTTACCTTGTATCTGATTCCGTGAATGGGACAGAAGAGCGATATCATCAGCGAAGTCCAGATCATCAAGCGGTTTTGTAGGGGTCCACTGAATTCCATTCTTGGTGTTAGCAGTTACTGTTTTCATAGTCCAGTCTATAGCCAGTAAAAATAAGAGAGGCGACAAAAGACATCCCTGTCGCACACCTGTTTTTATTTCAAATGCATCTGTTAGCTTTCCCTCATGAAGAACTCGACATTTCATGTCTTTATATGTTGCTTTTACTAAGTTGATAATTTTCTGTGGGATTCCATAGTGCCCCATCAATTTCCAGAGAGATTGCCTATCAATGCTGTCAAATGCTTTTTCATAGTCTATAAATCCAATGTAAAGTGGTGAGTTCAGTTCAATGCTTTGCTCTATTATAATACGTAATGTAGCTATCTGATCAGTACAGGATCTGTTTGAACGAAAACCTGCCTGCTCATCTCTTAGCATTTTATCAATAGCGTCTTTTAATCTTTCCAAAATAATTCTACTTAATATTTTTCCAGGAACTGACAGCAACATAATTCCTCTATAGTTTTCACACTCCTGTAGATCACCTTTTTTGGGCAGTTTCACAAGGTATCCTTCTCTCCAGTCTGCTGGTATTTCTTCGGTCTCCCAGACTTTACTGAATAATCTATGTAGCAATTCTGTTGATGTGTTTATGTTGGTCCTGATGGCTTCAGCTGGGATACCATCTGGGCCTGACGCCTTTCCTTCCTTGAGAAGATTTATAGCTTTTCTAATTTCCTCTTTGGATGGTATCTCACAGTTGATATCCAGTTCCATTTCTAAAGGCTGGATATCTGGGGGAACCTCTGGGCCTGGTCTATTTAGAAGCATTTCAAAATATTCAACCCATCTGTCCATTTGATCTTTAGTGTTAGTAAGTACCCTTCCTTGACTATTTTTGATTGATCCAGTTGGCTGACTAAATTTACCTACTAATTTTCTTGTGTAACTGTAAAGTTCTTTGAGGTTTCCTTTTGCTGCTGCTGTCTCCGCTTCTTGTGCTAGATCATTTAGATATTTCACTTTATCTGCCCCTATATGCCTCCTAACTTCCTTGTTGGCTTCTGTGTAATTCTCCTGAGCTCTAGCTTTAGCAGCTCTGGTTTTGCTATTGTTTAATTCTGCCTTTTTACTTTTCCTATCTTCAATCAGTTTAATGGTTTCTGGTGTTATCCATGCTTTATGTTTCCTTTCTTTCTTGCCAAGAACTTCTACCCAAGATTCATTCCAGATTCCTTTGATCTGATCCCAGCAGACTTCTGTGTTGAGATCTTCAGCTAACTGCTACAACACCTGGTACTTATTAGAGACCGTAACTGAGAACTGTTCCTTAATTTCTTTATCTCTGAGAAAGCCTACATTATATTGGTTTAAGATTATATGGTGATGATGATGATGACGATGATAATGGTGACGATGACAATAAATTTAATGATGATAATAAATATGAGGTGGTGATGATAATGTTAAAGACGTCGATGATAATGATTATTACGATGATGTGGTGATGATGATGATGACGACGATGACACAAATACCTGGACTGTGCTGTCCCCAGCCTGCTGCCTGACAAGGAGTGCCTGGGGAGATCCTACGACCCACATCCAGATTAATAGGATGAACACTGTTGGTGAGCCGTGCCGGGGACTTCAGTTTCAACAGTGCAATGTCTTCACTGAGCTGAGGAAATACTGAACGAGCAACACGTTCATCATTAAAACACTATGCAGTTAAAACGACGAATTACTAAATAAACAAGTTGCTAAATGTCACACTTTTTAAATAAACCATTCAATTAATTATCACAGGCTAACCTACGGAAAAATAACATCCGTGAAATGAAATGCCCGAGGAAAGCTGCTTACTTAACCTTTCGAGACAAAGTTAGAAATGATATCAGATTTTAGGAAAAACAACATGCAGCAAATTCATTGAGAAACAGAAGATCAAATGGTTTGGCCATCTATTATAAATGCAGCTGGAACAATTACCAACGAAGGCGCTACACGTGAAAAGTTATGCAGTGGAAGCAAAAGGACGCTCTAGGAGAATATGGATTGATGACATCAAAGAGCTTCTACATCGATATAGAATGACAATATCCATTGCCTCTCATCAAGCGATGGATAGCAAACTATTACTTCCCATAACACTTAATTGCAGAAGTGACAACTGATGATTATTATCCAGTTACTGAATAAACAAGTTTCTTAATTTACATGTTTTAGTTAAATCTAGAAATGACTGTCTGAACAAGGAGTTGCATACTTCACGTCTGTGAGTTAAATCGAGAAATGACTGAATTAACAAGGAGTTGCCTAACTGAACGTCTATGAGTTCAATCGAGGACTGACTCAATAAACAAGGTGTTCGATAACTGCACGTCTGTGAGTTAAATCTAGAAATGACTGAATTAACAAGGAGTTGCCTAACTGAACGTCTATGAGTTCAATCGAGGACTGACTCAATAAACAAGGTGTTCGATAACTGCACGTCTGTGAGTTAAATCGAGAAATGACTGAATTAACAAGGAGTTGCCTAACTGAACGTCTATGAGTTCAATCGAGGACTGACTCAATAAACAAGGTGTTCGATAACTGCACGTCTGTGAGTTAAATCGAGAAATGACTGAATTAACAAGGAGTTGCCTAACTGAACGTTTATGAGTTCAATCGAGGACTGACTCAATAAACAAGGTGTTCGATAACTGCACGTCTGTGAGTTAAATCGAGAAATGACTGAATTAACAAGGAGTTGCCTAACTGAACGTTTATGAGTTCAATCGAGGACTGACTCAATAAACAAGGTGTTCGATAACTGCACGTCTGTGAGTTAAATCGAGAAATGACTGAATTAACAAGGAGTTGCCTAACTGAACGTTTATGAGTTCAATCGAGGACTGACTCAATAAACAAGGTGTTCGATAACTGCACGTCTGTGAGTTAAATCGAGAAATGACTGAATTAACAAGGAGTTGCCTAACTGAACGTCTATGAGTTCAATCGAGGACTGACTCAATAAACAAGGTGTTCGATAACTGCACGTCTGTGAGTTAAATCAAGGAATGATTAAATGAACAATAAGTAACTAAATTTCGAAAATCATAAAAAACTATGGTTATTATTGAATTGGTCGGTCGGTCGGTCGGTCGGTCGGTCGGTCGGTCGGTCGGTCGGTCGGTCGGTCGGTCGGTCGGTCGGTCGGTCGGTCGGTCGGTCGGTCGGTCGGTCGGTCGGTCGGCCGGTCGGTCGGCCGGTCGGTCGGTCGGTCGGTCGGTCGGTCGGTCGGTCGGTCGGGCGGTCGGTCGGTCGGTCGGTCGGTCGGTCGGTCGGTCGGTCGGTCGGTCGGTCGGTCGGTCGGTCGGTCGGTCGGTCGGTCGGTCGGTCGGTCGGTCGGTCGGTCGGTCGGTCGGTCGGTCGGTCGGTCGGTCGGTCGGTCGGTCGGTCGGTCGGTCGGTCGGTCGGTCTGTCTGTCTGTCTTCCTCATTCCCACTCACTTCTGTTTTTTTTTCTATGTTTCCACCTCATGAAGACTCTGTCTAAAACATTTCTGCCTCGTCAAAAGGAATTTTTCCTATACCCTCGTCCGAATAAGAAATCTTCAACGCTGTCTGTTTTCCTTTACTCTGCAATATTTACGACCTTTCACCCGAGACACCAGTTTTCAAAATAACGTTGTAAAAATCTTGTTTATCAAACATGCTTCAGTTATTGCGAATGAGAAACATTAATCGTCGTTATGGGCATTTTAAGATCTTTCTTTCAACGTGTTACATTCAAAACATGCCCTACTTCCCACTTTTAGGGATCATAATGTTACGATCATAACTTTTCACAGTACAAATTTTAAGCGGAGTCGACCTGCCTTAATTCCATCTTCCTTTGCAGCTATTGCTGAAAGTAATAATTGTTTGGATATGAAGATGTTTAAAAGCAGGCCCGTGCCCCGCTCTGATACTTCAGGTCGAACGGTAAGGTGAGGTAGGGATATGGGGGGCGGTATAAGCAGTAAAATTAAAATACAAACTGAACTTTTGATCTTTTGATGCTATTATGGGCGGCATTTGGAAGACTTACTTCATACTGAGAAAATCAGCCGCATGGGACTTTTCAAATGATTGGGGGTGAGGGGAGGAAAAATCATGGGGGAGGGTATAGACTTAGTGCCCCTAAGAAAGACGTTGTGGGCTGTGAATATTGAAGTGTTTACTGGACCGAAAGGGCGCAGATGTCACAAAAAATATCGGCCCTCACAGAGCTTTTCAAACTTTTCATGTTGGTGACACCATTTTTTAAGCAAATACTTTTCCGCGATACAACAAATAATTCGGTCTTCTAGTAATTAGAGGTTACACTGACCCTTTTAAAGAGATACGGACATATTCATAAACTGTACACACAAAAATGTTTTAACTCTTTGAGTCCCAAGGAACGCATTATACGCTCATAGGTTACTGCCTAGAAGCCCAATAAACACATGATGCGCCGATTTTACGTCTCTTTTGACTACCCCTGAGGCCTGTGAGGCAAAACCCTCTAGGACTGAGTTTAAGACACACCCTATCTCATGAAACCATTTGAAAGAAAAACTAAATCAAAATATCTGTTATTTCCAGTGGCAACGATGAACCTTCTTTAGCTACAGTGAAACGGTGGAAAATTCCATCGTACGGACATGTAATAAGCTTTTACTATATTACAAGGCTCAGTAGAGGGGGCGAGGAGAAGAAGCCGACCAAGAAAGACCCGGATAAAGAGCTTATCTGTCTGGACAGGCCTAGTCATACAACCATGAAATCCATCGCACCTGACCGCCAAAGGTGGAGGGGGGAATTTAATCAGACTCTTAACAGCAACTGCTGACACAACGACACGCAGAGTTACATGATGGGGATGACGATGATAATGATTATGGCAATGATAACTAATTTACTTAGTCGTTCCTCTTTTACCTTGGGGTGTAGATGTTTGCCAGAGATATCGCCAGACTCCTCTATCAGCAGTATTGTTTATGGCTTTGTTATATTCCAGTCCTCTGTTGGTCGGAGACTGTCAGATGTTATCTTCCCAGCGGATCCTAGAGGTCTTGTTCCCTGATTTTAAGCCTCCCAAGTCTGCCACGAGGGCCGATTTTCTCCCATTCTGCATACATGTCCAAACCATCGTAACTGGGACTGATCCACTCGGGTTTGTAAGGCCTGAGTTTCAATATCTTGACGTAGTGTCTAATAACCATCCCTTCTAATCATTTGGACCACATTTTCTCAGATATCTCATTTCTTAGGCCTGAAGCTGGCTTCTGGAAGCTGTTGACATTGACGATGGCGATGATGATGGTAATATTTCCAAGAATAATGTTTCTCATGCATGCAGACTAGACTGCAGATAAGACATTTTACAGTAGACCAATTGGGAGGTAGGCCAGAGGAAGACCAAGAAAGGGATGGATAAATAATGTAGATGAAACCTGTAAAAAGTTGAACAAAATCCATCACTCATACCACTCGAGAAGCGCAAGACAGAAAACTACGATACTGGGATACAACCTGGTAACAGTGAGACGACAAAAGAAGAAGGAGTTTAATCTTATCCACCATCAGATGTTGCTGGTCAGTGTGATTTCCACCATCCATAAAAGTCGTTATTTCCTTCGCCTAGCGCAGTAAAACACTATCATCTGGTAAGACGGAGAGGTGCCAACAACATGATTATCAATGTTATAATTATAATTTAGCTCTCTGGTGTGTGCACCCCGTTTATTCAGTTTAACGTTCTTCGTTCGCATGGCAAATCTTCAGAGTGTTCCATCTAATTAATTACAATCAGTATCATCTTTAGGCTTACAAGTTCCATTAAAAAAAAAATGGTTTTTACAGTATTTTTGCTTTTTAGGTGATGCATAATCTGGTAGTTAACTTCAATGTATATTTTTTTTCCCAGTTAATATCATATTAAATTCCATTGTTGCAAAAAGTACCTAAGTAGTTTTCAACCCCTTTGACCACTTCCCCTAGAGACTGAAAAGCATATTGTTATATGAACATAACATGCTTTATTGATCAAATACACTTGCTCTATGATAGATGCGTATTTGCAAGGGCCGAATGTAACACGGACCAGCGTGCCCAATTTGTGACTTTTTAAAAGTAAAGTTCTTTTCTTCGTTCGTTCAGCCCGGCTCACTGCGCGGTGACCGGGTGACGAACTCCTTGTGGTCCAGGTTCACTCCCGGGGGTAGGCAGAAAAGCCACATTTTTTCAAGATTTACTGTTTTTATCATGCAATCAAGGCCGAAGGGTAGCGATATCCATAATACCTAGCCTAAGGGTTAACAACTCATGGCTTCCAGATACTTAAAAAAAAAAAAAAAAAAAACAAGGTTCGTTCGTTAGTTTGTTCACTACACGAATTAGCAGACATAATTTTGGCGGCCCACGGGAACTTCCCCCACGGTCCAACATCGGGTTGCTGCCCACGCTTTGAAGAGCACCAGTCTTTCAAAGCACATCTCCACCGCCTACACATAAGTTTGAAATATCTTGCCAACTGTCCGTGATTCACTTCCACACAACAGGATATAATTTGTTTAGCTATCAAGTAGAGCTCTTGAGAGTTCTTTTTCTCATCGCAGTTGACAAAGAAAGATTGCACAGCATATTTTTCGTTTAATGAAATGCTGCCTTTGCTTTAGCTTTCATGAATGTAACTTTTTAAATACATTTTCTGTTTGTTGTTATCGAGGTACCCAAGTACTTAAAGGTATGTGCAGTTAAAGCATTATGTATAGTACTTAATGTTAGCGTCTGTGGATTAGTGGGTGCACACGCGCTTCGTAATGTGGGGGAGCTTGGTGAAATTCCAACTGCAGACTGTTTGTCTTGCGTTGGTTTCCACAGTGGTACCGACAGATAAAGTTCCCCAAAAAAAAAAAATGACAAACTACTGAAGGTAAAATTTGCCTAGAGAAACCAAAACAGCCAAGAAATGATGAGGTTGGTTCTGCAACGTCCTGTAAAGGATGTGCAACTAACTTTAATAGTTAGTAACAATTTCAAATAATAAAATCAATATCAACCAGTTTTATCTTAAATCAGGCAAACTTACAAGTATAGTTCTTGAGAAAGATTCCGTCGATTTCTATCCTCTGTTCTGTATCTTCCATGATTGTTCTGTTGTATTCGCCAAGAACTGCTATCCAGTTGTTAGGATCACCAAGCCCTGGACTCCCTGAAGCAAAACTGTTTGTGAAATTAATGCATTGCTTTGGTAGGGGAAAAAAAAACTTATTCAATTAGAAACGCTAGACTAGGAGCTCGTTGTAATTTCATTAAAAATAGTCCGGCAAAGGTAACAAGTATTGTCAAGCAGCAGAATGCAGTTTGAGGTTTGAACAACGGACTAACATCATGGCACACGGGTAGTAACCCATAAGTGCTCCGTTCTACTTCTAGCTCAAGCCTAAGTCCGCATTAGCTCAGCACAGTGAACATGCTCTGTAGCACCGGCGAGGATCCTAAAATACTTTGAGTAGATTTTTAACTCCAAATTTTGCCCGGGCAGCGCCGTTAGGCTACTCTTTTTGATTTCCAACTGCCAAAGGATTTTTTACAAACACGAAAAATGCACACGGGCGTTCGATCTCACTACCCAGATACCATGGAGAATTACTAGAAGTCCAATTGCACGTGAAAAGATCCTAGACCTACCGGGGATTGAACTCGGAACCTCTAGAACTGGAGGCGGACATCATGCCTCGAGACCACGCAGGCCCCCCCCCCCACCCCTCCCCCATCAACGAGTGACTATTGGTCTATAAAATATAGGTCTAGCTCTATATTTCACAATACCCGTCAAGACGTGAAGAAGGGTCATTGACTTACCTTCTGATGTTTGTAATCAGTTGTTTTCGGATCTTCGCCTCATTCAACATTAATTATTTTTTAATTCTCATGTTGCCAACCAGTGCCTGTCTTTACAGCAACAGGACGTTGCAGAACCAACCCCAGCATTTTTTTGGCTGTTGTGGTTTTCTAGGCAAAAATTACGTCCAGTAGTCTGTCATTGCTCACTAAACGGTCAGCTCTCGGTACCACAGTCGAAAACAGCGCAAGACGATCTGCTGCCAAATCATCCGCAGTGGGGAACGAACCAGACATTCTGGAATTAGTAAGCCACAGATGACGACTTTTAAGGTTGAGACATAAAAAAAGAGCGGGTGGGAGTGCGAAAGTGTGTGTGTGTGTGTATGGGGGGGGGGGTGCTTTGAGCTTGATGTTTTAAGGCCGTATAGCTAGTGCAGTCGCCACGGACAGTGCAGGTTAGGAGTTTTTAAATTTTTTTTTTTTAATTTTGACCCTGGACAGAAAAAACAAACACAAATGACCTTACCGAATAATCGAACCTAAGTTTTCTGCATTAGATTTTCTATTCCCAACCTTTCGACCAGCCGCTCTTCTTTAACTTACTGAATATTTGTAACTTACTGTACACAATGAGCAGCGGTCAGAACCCAGGAGGGACTGATCAATGTTGCACCACAGAGATGCTGCAGACCTTGAAGTTCCAGGTACGGGTGGTGAAGTTTATAATTTAAGGATACCAGCCATGGCCAGGCTCCCGGCTGCAGAGGTTCCCCTCCGACGATACGCCGCTGGCGCTGACAGAAGGCAGCGGTAGACACCCACGATAAATAGACTGCAAGAAGCGTTTATCGTAGTGTAAGAAAATCAATAAAGTATAGATTACAAATTATAACATGAGAAAGGAAGGACAGATAAAGAGGATGGCACAGATTGAAACATGCGACATCAAACATATGCAGTTCCTAATTATATATTTATATATAAACTAGGCCACCTACTAAGAAACAATGTTAAATAATAAGTAACACTGTGTAACGTAACACTGTGTAACGAAACACTGTGTAACGAAACACTGTGTAACAATGTGATTAGGCAGTAACATGAACGTCAATATTCCTGGCCATGAATTGTCTAAGGCAACTAGCAATAGCGCCATAATGTTAATAGACGATGGACACACCCAGTTTGACCGAGCTTAAAATGTGCACCATAACATTTTATGGTAAGTGAAGGCAGAAAGCAATATGTTAATAACATATCTCAGAGTAATCAAAGCAATGTTTCCCCGATGTGAATTTGAACAAAGAAGACACAAACAATAGACTGCACAATTTATTGCCTGGCATATTTCGCTGTATCTATGAAGGCAAAAAGAAATGGTCGTTGCCCTACGCTTACCTTGGTGAAACAGTTTGAAATGTACTTGAATTTGTGTTTCAATTTCTAGGTTTCAGCTATTTGCTTCAATTTAATTAATTGTTACTGTAGTATGCACCTGACGAGATACAGCGAAATATGCCAGGCAATAAATTGTGCAGTCTATTGTTTGTGTCTTCTTTGTTCAAATATCTCAGAGTGTTGACGAACGTATTACAATCCAGCCGTTGGCTTATAACGTGTCTTTTACTTACTCTTACATCTACATTATTTTAATCTCAATGAGCAACAATGTATGGACCAAATGGAAATATAAATCATAAACAAAAAATCCTTAGCAAAAACATATGATAAATGAATAAAGAATTGATAACACTGCACTCGGGACAGTCCCACACGTGCTCCTTCTCCTTTTCCGGGATGTTTATAGCACCAGGTGCAACTTGATTAAAAGTCTCCTCTGTGTCCCCTTCATTGTTTGACACCTTCCTGAACCACCACTCACCCTCCTCCACACGTTATTTTATTATTATTATTATTTTTAAATTAATCTTTCAGTGTACGGCTGCGATGTCTATTTTATTGCACTCTCCTCTTGATCCCAGTGAATATTTTTCACGTCCGCTTTATCATGAATGGCTCACCGCCTAGAGGAGTGGCAGCAGCTAATCTACCAGACTGCTCCTCAACTGAATACATCTGAAAAACCAGGACAGACAATCCATGATACGCTACTGCAGTGACTCTTCCCAAGTGATGCGAGACAATCTGTTTCAAGTTTTCCATGGAAAATAATGAACAGATTAAATACAGATGTCCCAGAAAACCTGTCTATAAGGCACAAGAACAGACACTTTCTTGTCAATTGATTCTAGACATCTTCTTGTGAGATGCAATTTTTCGTTGTTTTCAAGCCCCACCCTTGCCGGGGGCCGCAATATAGCCTGGTCATAAATATGGCCTATTGGCTGAACGCGGTTTCTGGGACCTCTCCACGGGTGATCCTCATTCGCATGGTGGCACTTTGTGTCATCGGGTGTTTATCGTTTGTGTGATGTCCTATTGGGGTATAAAATACACTCTCTTGTTGCTTATTAAACACCCCAGCAAAGCAACACAAAAATAATAATGTGTAATAGTACCTTTCAATCACCTGTTGTTATATACTTGTTTTACGAGACAGAAGGAGACAGAGAAAAAGACAAAGAAAGGAACAATAAAACAATACTTCTTTGCCTTGTAAAAATCTAGAAGATGCAAAGAGCTTCAACACTTCTGTTCAAAGAAAAGAAACCTGGCTTCCTACGTCTATATCTGTTAGTTATACTACAGAATGGACTTTGTCACAAATTACCAGATGAACAGTGTGTAGTTTTACAAGTACTCACCAACAATATAGCTGATACAACATGCTCCCATTTTTGCCAAAAAAGAATGAATTCAAATGCCAAAATGTATGAAATATCTTGTTGGTTAAAATTATATGTCTGTCTGTACGATTTTCTGTTCAGCAATGACTGGCGATCTAAATTATCTTGATTTATGTATACATTTTCGTAAGCATAAAAACAGAAAGAAAAAAAAAAATTTGAAATGGCAGTTTTAACAGCAGTGATGTAGCCGGCAAATAGGTTTACATCCCCCTTTTTTTGTATCTGTTAATCAACTACCTATTTTCTTTTGACACTGGGGGTAGTCGAAGAAGAGAAGGGCAAAGAAGAGCCGGGAGTGACAACATCAAGATATGGACAGGACTAAGTTATCATACACTTATTCATCAAGCGGGAGACAGAGAAAGATGGCGGGATTTACGTGCTAGTGCTTCCATCAATGCACCTATGTATGTTTCTCCTGA